AATATTCTTATCATCATTACTAATATTATTATCATCATCATCTTTATCACTACCACTGTGATCACACGACACCTTATACAATTGTCAAACCGGATATGATCCTTCCATATGAGATATTGCCTAGTTATAACTGCCTAGCAGAAAAAAAAACGGTTGTTGGCATCAACTATGGCTTCTCAAATCAACAAGATCCAAATCTTGGATGGATAGCACGGTGGAAAACGGTGGGTTAGAGTGGGTAATCCAACAGTCACTCAACTAGGCGTAANCATATGTAATAGTATGAGAAGAAAATTGAAAAATTCAGTCATAGCGTCGGAGAATGCTTCCAACTTGCTTATAATCGCTTACAACCATCAATCATCATTTTGAGGTGAGATCTGTTGTTGTCACTCAGCACTGCACTCAAAAAAACTCATGTGTGGACTGTGACATTCTAAATTCGAATGGGAGTGTGACGATCACGAAATGTATATACCTGTGAGATCGGTTCCCAGAAATAAAACCCTCTCAAGGAATACTCATCTGATCGACAGATTCATTGGTTTTTGCGCTATTTGTGAGGATTGCGTCTTGCCGATTGATGTGCTCCGCAAATGAGATGAGTACATCAGCATGAATGCATGCAATCTTTGAACACGATTAAAGATGAACGAACAACACCAACTAAATCACCCTCAGGATTTCATAACTCATAAACTGTGGTTAGTCGGATGACTGATGATTGACGTATGGAAAATTGTACATGTCAGCTGAGAATTATGATTTACATCTTATGATTTTTGAGGAATCATTTTTACTTCCTCTAAGTGGGAGGATTGTTTCGCATAAAAATGATCGTATCGCAACGGATCAAAATGCGAAATTAATAAACCATTCAAACTACAATGCCCTTGTTCGAAATGATATTCTCATAGTTAGTGAGCATACTCGAGTTATTCACCGAAAATAATCCTCACAGCTAATCAGCACACAGTTGCGTCTTTTATCACATAAAATGAACAGTTATAAATGAACATCACACGCAAACAGTGAGATTTTTCATATCAACTGAACCGTGCAGCCGAGAGTAAGCACTAGATATCAAGCATCGAGAGTCAATTGTTGAATATCAAAATTTTGAACGAACATCACCTTAGACGTATGCATTTTCATTTTACACAGACCTAGTCAGGAAGAAGGTGAAACTTATCTGTTGCTGCTTACCGGCTTTCAGAACAAAATGTGCATAATTTTCAACGTTTTTTTCCTCAACTGGTANTTTTTTTTCAAGTGAATGATTGCCATTGTTTCAATTGTGTGCTGTTTACAACGATTTCACCACAACAACCTGGCTTGATATTACACAAGCAGAACTCATCATTTGCACGTAACCAACCACGAATAAAATCCGCACTCACCGTTCATGTGGCACTGAGTGCTACAATCCATTTCATATCCAACCCAAACTGTTCTGCACCTATCCACCAATTCTGCTGCATAAGTTGTTTGGCATCACTCATCAAGTTCCATCACTCATCAAAACCTACTGTCCAGTCTTATCAGTATCGAAACCTATTGTCTTATCTTAACTGTACTTCTGCACCACCATTTGAGATCAATTAGGAACGTTTGAGATCAATTAGGAACGTTTGTCTTGAATCATTGAACTTGAATGAGCAGATTTGCATCACTGATGCGATTACTTTTTTTTTCATACAGCACATTTGACTTTTCATTGATATTTTTGACTTTTGACATAACTTTTCATTTTTCATACATTTGACATTTTTCACATTTCCNATACATTTCCTTCCAATATATTCATTTCTTGTATTGACTGATTCTTGAAGATTTTCACTTTTATCAATAATATGTGGAAACATTGCGGATGTTTCGTTGCAGTAGAAATCCTCTACAAATTAGTTGATGCAGCCTTCGATGGGAAGCACGATAAAAACAACCATTCGTCTTAAAGTAGAGTAAATTAGCGTTTCAGAAACTGAATATTCTCTTCGAGGAGGATGAAAAGCGATTATCTTACTAAGTAAGTTTTACATTCTCTACCATTGATAGAAAAAAAATCACTCATCCTCGTTTATCTGGAATGTGCTCAAAATCAAACGGGATGATGCTTCTTTAAGACATAAGAGATCGTTGAGAGAAACGATAACGATTTGTGAATAAAACGGCCTTCCATATAGCTTCAGTTCATATATCTGGATTCAGTGTGAAAGATGGCAAAGGCGTGGCTGTTAGTTATTCAGAACAGTTGAGCGAGATAAGTTTGCAAACGACATCTCGTAATCGGTTGCAGGTGAAACGAAGAAGTCATCATATGAGCTCTTGATTGGTGATGTAATGAGATTTGCACTAATGACTTTTTTGGATTCTAAAAGTAATCCGTGGGAGGAACAAGCTATATTCAACGGTGTTTCGTCGAGAATTGTTTACGGTTGGTTATAATTGAATTGTTGTTTTATCACTATCATTCATTATATCATGATATGCTTGTTGCTTCGTCAAAGCAGTTTATTTTCATCATATTTGTTTCTGCAATTGACATGCGCTCAGAGACCAGTTGAGAACCAATTCTGTTGCAGCCTTTTGCGGGCGGTATTCATTATTGATGAGGATTCCAAATCTGCAAACGACGTTCATTTCTTATTTCCGCACTTCACTCAGTCGTTTCTTATTGTCAGTGGCATATGCTGAATTTATTTTTTTGTTTCGCAGTGACACAATCAGCATAGCAACTTGCGTTGACTATCAAAGGGAATTGCAGCGGGTAATCACTCGGTGGTTCAGGGCACAAACCTGATCCCCTAATCGTGATGAAGATTTCACAGATGCATCATGCTTTCATCTGTGCTCTTGTCGTCATTTCGATTGATCAGTTGAAATTTCACATTGTCTTGCGCCTCGCAGAAAGATAATCACTCTTGATAACGTCGGAAGCGTTTCTCGAAAAACTTATCAACTGAAGTGATTGATGATAGTGGCGCGATGAAATCATGTAAAGTGCTTAGTTTTCTGTTTCCGTTCAGTCAGCAGATCATCTAGTGAAGGGATTTTGCTTTTTTTGCACCAGTTCAGAACAGCTGCTTGTCGGTTTTTAATTCTAAGAAAAGATGCCGACGACTTGACTTATATATGAGTAAGCAGGGCAGTATTATTCTCCTGATAATGTACCTATTCAGCAAGACTTTTTTGTTCTCGATAGACAGATGTGAAGTTATCGCGTCACGAAAATTTTCAGTGCGAAAAAGTTTTAGTCACAACATCAGCATTTCATGTAGTTAGATACAATACAAATAAGAATTTATAATGAGCAATGAGCTGAATCGCGAATCGTTTCAGATCATTCTGAGGCAGACATTGCCATTTGAACGTATTGAAAGCATCAGTGGCACGTAATGTTGTTTGCTTGATGAAAAACTACTGCAAATGAAGCAAGAAGTTAGGATGTAAATTAGCCGCATTTTTCTGATTCTCGCCTACTCATTGGATTTATTCGCTCGCACTCATTTGAGTATCGTTATTTGCGCTTTGCGATTAAATGCAGCAATGCAAATCAATTGTTTACCTAACACTATCAAGAGATTCATTCAATTCATGTTATGAACAAAAACTTATCGTAGCCAAGTGGATGGATTCACTTCAAAGCTCAAAATTGTTGTCGTGCTAATCAATAAGCATCTAAAAAATTCAGTAATTCATCGACTATGTACATAGCAACTGAAATTATACCATGATAAGTGGTTGAAGTATGTCGTTCATCACGATGTCTAATAATAATTCTGGAACAACTCGTCTGAGTTTTATTCCATCAGCAAATGTCCTTTCATAATTGCTAATTCGCTGTTTTCGGCTTTAGTAAAATCTCATATTTGCTGATTTGCACTGGATTCAGTGAGAAAAGGAGGAATTTGAATGCGCATCTTAATGTGTGACTTTAACGACATCCCAATAGCAACTGTAACTACTTCACCGTGCGATGTTACATCTAGTAGTCTATCTCGAGAAAATGTAACGATGTGCTGTTGCTTTACCCTTGAGGAAAGCAAGAGAATCCTCTATCGTGCCCACTGGAATGGTTCTTATTGAAGCGAGAAGCTTACCAGAATATTTAAAGTTCCATATTGGAAGTAGAAGTTCATCAGGCCTCCATTACATCTTTTGAAAATGTCTGCCATTGGAGTTGATCATATACATTGATCAGATGCAAATCGCAAAAGTGCTCCAATCGGGAATCCATCTCCTTTGAAAGGACACTTCTGATTGCCAATGTCATGTTTACATTGTGAACCGTTTACGAGAAACGATCATCACAAGTAGCTGTTCTGTTAAGTGAATACGTCTTCATTGTTAATTAAAAATTTTGTTGCTGACATGAAAGTACACGTCGGTATGAATTTAAAAGCAATTATATCGACACTAGAGCGAATCTTTGAGAAAAGATGTTTATTCATTCAATTATTCATTCAGTTGCTTCAGTGTTGTCGTTGTCTTGGCTCGAATGAATTTCCTGAGCTAACAGTTCACCAATAAGCAGTTCCACCGAAAATGATCAGAATGCTCAAGCCTGTCGGCTACTGAACAGACTGATTATTTCCATGCAAAATTTTGCAATTTCTGACTTGACTATTGAATAAATAACGAGCAAAGACTGAAGTATCGAGTTCTGATTAGACGTGAGACCTCATTTTGCAATATTATTCTGATTCGATTACTGAGTCTTAGGAAATTTTACTCATCGTCAGTTGAATTATTGAAAGTCACTTATGCATGACTAAGCAGTGCAGCGTGTAATTTTGCTGATGAGTCAGTCAGTGCGGGTGAATGCATACGAATTCATAGATCGGTTTCTATGCGACAATATTTTGATGAATAGAAAACGCATTGCACTCACACTCCAAGTTCGGACTCAATTCACAGTTCAAATTCACAGTGATGCGTTGCAAATATGAAGAATGTGATTCGTTTCTAATTTCTCATAAATTTTGTGAGCATTTGCAGTGGGTAACGCGTGTGATTCATATCCGTGTTGGAACGATGCATTTTGCATACCACTGAATTTGAGTGTTTCGTCGTTTAAGTGCATATGTGGAAGTGAATACGCTGGTGAGCTATGTCAGTACAAGGTTGGTTCATAATCAGCGAAATTTTATCTTGCTTGTTGTCCAACCAACAACCTTCAAGGGATCGGCTAATACAATATGGTTATAATTACTTCATTGTTATGGGATCAATACATAAAACTACGTAACTTTACACTATGCGAAGAGTGGATTATTCATTGTTCGAGTGAACTAATAAAGAAGTGTTGTATGGGAATCACTGGTGAAAATGATTATAAAAAGCGGAAATCAGTGTTCAGTTTGAGCTCACTCATTGTTCTCCGCTTTGTGCGTCTAATAGCAATTTCATTTCCCCAACTTCATTTCGCTTGAGNACACCAAAATTATTCACACACAACATTCACACATATCCGTATTCGTACACACTCGTTGTCATCAAACTCTCTAAATGTTGATGCTATTGTTGGGGATTCAACTTCTTCAAAGACAATACATGCACTAAATGAATTGATCATTCATTAATCTGGCAAAAACTTATTATCAAGCAACTTTTCGCATTCATTCGATAGGATCAGATAAAATGCCACCAAACAATAAACGTTTACAAAAACTCGGTTCTATGACCGTCTCTTCAATAAACTTAAAACATAATCGAGTGATGGTGACCGTACGTTTCATGCCTGTGAATTTAAGCATACACTTAAGGTGTTTTATTTTTTGAGCTTGTAAAAGTTGTTCTGAAGTGAAAGAACGAAGAAAAAAATCGAATTAAACGAGTGACAAAAATGTGACAAAAAATAATCTATCCCATGAGACAGGAAACGAAATGCGACATATAAGCTATTACTTAGTATGTGTTAAGCTAGTGCAATGCACATTCATCGCTGATGCATTCGCCTACAGAGTATTGAGCTGCTTCGTGGGGGATTGAATCCAGTCAACTGAAATCACCCGCATATTTTGTGATTGTTCTCGGCTTTTCTTCGATTACTATTCTCACTGATCATCCCTCCCACCGTTTATGATCATCGTTCCCTTGATGCATTAGCGATTAAAACACACTCAAATGAATGACATTTTACTCAGAAGTTTAGGCTTCAAGCGTTTTCAGTTATCCGATTTTCAACAGGTAACATTCATGACTTCTCCTTCACTATCCTGTTCAAAATTTCCGATCTGTTTCATTCTGCCCTCCTTTCACCCCATTCCCTTCCTCTCACATTTTGCCTTCCTTTCATCACGTGCTTGACTATTGCTCTGACGTAATTCGCAGTATTTTGCGCACCTACCCAGTTCCCTCATTTCAAGCATAAAAACGGGAAGACAATAAATGAAAATTGAGCAGATGTGGTTTGTGATGTTTGTCATTCGGAATTATTTCAAGATTAATTAATTTCCTGGTGAAGTTTTCATGGCAATTCATACGCTCTAAGCAGTAGGTAATCAACAGATCCACCGATAAGGACAAATCAAACGGAAAGGCAATTATTTAGAGATATAGAATCACCGAACATTGCTCACTGCTTCAGAGATAGCGAAATTCACTTAATTTCAGGTAAACGACTTTTGCAAGGGACAGCATTGTGACGAGGGTACAGTATGTACCGTAACAAACGGTTTTGCAGAGTGTGTCTCATACGAGTCGCTTGGTACTTTTCATTTCGTTCATTGACCGTAACGCTTTTACTTTCTATTTGACTGATTGAGCCCATTGAGTAACTATGCTTTCTTCACACCTTCCCCTCTGAGTCTATCGTTAATCTAGTTCTCTTCAACGAATGCAGGAATGCAGAGGAAAATTTTAATGCATTGTTTTGAAATTTCTCATTGTCGGTTGCCGTGAGAGTTTTCAAATATTAACTTTGTTATTGACACTGGCCTATAAGACAATCAGTGATGGATACATCGTCAAAAAATGAAACAGTCTCAAAATTCAGCGTATTTTTCGTCGTGTGACGAGACGTTCTGCCTGAATGGCGCTCAGTGCGTTCCAGCGATCAACAATCGTTTCAAGTGTCTCTGTGCAGACGGTTATCAAGGCGTCTACTGCCAGCGTATGATTTTTTGATCATTTTTCAGATGCGGTCAAGCCTCCCTTGAGGCACAACAAGCATG